TGTCGCTCTGGGGTTGCCCGCGTCCGGAGCACACGCGTGAGGACTGCGCGCTGAGCCATGACGTCATGACGCCTCCTGCTCCGAGCCCCACCCGCGCAGGCGTGCGGTGAAGGCGCTCCGCAGACATGACGTCATGGCGTCGCCTGGTCTGCCGCCCCTGGCTCTGTACAGAAGCCCAACCCGGTTAACTTGTCCCCACACTCTGACAACCCCAGGTCCTGCCGTGCTCCGCCACCTCCTCTCACCAGCGACCCGATCCCCACCTTTCACAAGTTCATTCATACAGCACAGTGATTCATCCCATCGCTAGCCAGGCACGGAACCCAGAGGCGTGCAATAGTCCAGCGAGAAGGGACCTTAACGTCCTCCCTTCACCTGCTCTGTGCCAGGCACTGGTCCGAGTTCCCAAGAGCCAGTAAGGAAGAAGACAGGCAAAGGCCTGGCCCTCTGGGAGCTTTCAGAACCAGATTTCAGAACCCACCTGTCTTCTGAAGAGACTCTGGGTGGCTGCAAATGCTCCACCTTTTAGCTATTATTCAGAGGCTAACTAAGGAAAGAGAGGTGATTCACCTAGAGGATTCCAGGTAGTGTGAGATGCTTCACAGTCGTGGGAGTGAGGGAGCTGTTTGCATCACAGGTTCTGGTACCAAGGATAGGCCTAAAAAGAAAGACACTCCAGAGAGAGACCAGAAACCTGCATTGATTAGGTACTTCCTATGCAGACTGCAGTTTGAGAATCAGACTGAAAGGCATTTTGGTACAATTCCTTCCCCAATCAGTAATTCAATAGACATATACCAAGCACCCACTGGATGCCTCAAAAGGGAACGCTGGTGGCGTCATGGGTTGTGGGTTCCAACTTAGGCTGCTAAACACGCGGTAAGCTGTTCAAACCCACCAGCCACTGCAGGGGAGGAAGATAAGACTTTTTGTTCCATAAAGATTTGCAGCTTCAGGAACCCAAAGGTGCAGTTCTACTCTGTCTTATAGGATCACTATGAGTCCAAATTGGCTTGCTTGCAGTGAATTTGTTTTTTTGTTAACTTGCCTCAAATATACCATAAACTATCAAAAGAATGAACAGCCAGAATACGTCTTAGAGCAAGGATGGCAAGACTTAGTCTTATCCGTTTTGGACAGATTGTCAGAAGGTACCCGTCTCTGGAGAACAGTACCTAGTTAAATAGTTTCCACTTCTTTGGTCTGTGGAGTAGGTGCCTGTAGGGTAGATTTGGCGACGGAAAGAAGGCAACGGCAGAAAACTGTTTCAAAGGTTTATGTCAGAGGTTCACAGGTCCGTAATCGGGGCCAGAGAAGTCGTGCTGTCCGGGAGGGAGGGGAGTACAGAGAAAGGGACGACGGGAGCATCCTGAGTTCCGGGGCGAGGCTCGAGGGTCCCCAGCTGGGGGCCTGCGAAGTCACGCTGTCAGGGCAAGAAGTGAGGGGTTTTATAGCCCGGGTCTGGGTGAGGGACTAGCTGTGGGATTTTCCACTGTGACTTTGCTGTCTGCAAGTCCGGGGCTAAGCAACAATGTTCAATGTTATCTGTGACAGCCAGCCTCCTGCATCTGGGCTGGGAAGGCCACCGAAGGGGAGAGGGGTCCTGGTCTTTCTCGGTGTCCTTAAAGTGTTTTCAGCAGCCCCGGGTATCCTTCCACTCACCTGCCCTGCCAACTCCTGCTTCAGCCTGACAATGCCAACTCACACTGAGCAAATGTACCGCAGCACAGTGCCAGGCCCTGCCCCATTCTCAGAGTCATTTGAGAATGACTGTATGTAAGTTCATTGTAATGACTGTATTGAAGTTCAATGTTGCAGCCACTGTGTCATGTCATCTCCTTGAGGGTCACCTCTTTTTTTTTTGCTGACCTTCTACTTTACCAAGCATGGTAAGATTTTCGAGAAAGAAAAGATCATAATAGTTAAGTAGCAGTAGTTTGTGGGGGTAGCCAGCCCCCCACAACTAATCGTGGGTTTGGTAGGCGAATTGTACAGTTAAGCTATGTAAAGATGATAGTAAAGTCATGGAGAATAGGAGAGATGGGAGAGAGTAACATAAAGAAGTCAGACACATTTCATGGGAGCTGCTCACCTCAGTTCCTCTTGGTGGGACACGTGGAGGTGGGACACAGAAAGCAGGAGAGAGCTCTCATAAGGTTCTATTTCTAACGAAAGCTTATATATCTTAGGGGGTATGCAAGCCCCTGATTACAGATAACAGCCTATGTCATAGGAAGGGGTTGTAACAGAGGCAATAGAAGCAATAGTAGGGGGATGGCCTTGGGGTGTACATGCAATAGTAAAGGGAAGAAATAGGGGTAATATGTGGCAAGATGGGCGGACCCTAGACTCAATACAGTAGCCTAACCTTAGTCATCTTTGAGTGGTCCTGGGACTTGCCTTCGGGCACTCCTTCAAGGGAACACTATCAGAAGGGAGTGGGCCCTACTTAGGGCGAGTCAGACTGTACAGTCTGGTTGCTCTAGATGGCTGATACCCCTAAGGAGAATAACCTCTGACCTACTTTCATTGATTTCCTAGTGTGCAATCATTTACCATGCGTACAAGCAGCGTCTTGGGTTTGGCAGATATTTGGGGGAGACAGCTTGGAGAAACCTTTCTGTACCCCGCAGTCGTTCTCGTTAGGTGCCGTCGAGTCGGTTCCGACGCATGGCCACCCTACGTGCAATAGAACAAAACACTGCCCAGTCCTGCCCCCTCTTTAGGGTTGCTCTGATGTCTGACCGCTTTGTTGCAACCAGTGCGCCAATCCATCTTGTTGAAGGTCAAAGAGGAAAACCTCTACAAGACACACTGACACCGTAACCTCCACGAGCTCCCAAACCCAAGCCAAACCCCAACCTCCTTGCCACCAAGTCGGTGCAACTCATAGGGACAGGACAGAACAGAACTGCTTCTGCGGGTTTCCAATGAGCACCACAGGGTGACTGGAACGGGAGTGGCTTTCTCCTCAGGAGGGGCTAGTGGTTTTGAACTGCTGACCTTGCTTGTTAGCAGCCCAGTGCATTACCGCTATGCCACCAGGGCTCCTTCCAAGGAGCTCAAACACACCTGTAACTGTGAGGAAGGTACAAGACTGCGCAGGTCTTGTTATGTTACAGTTGCTATGTGTCTGAACCCACTTGACAACCTAACAACAATGCCCCTGAGGCTAAGGTACACAAATATGGAAACAAACAAAAAACAGCTTTGGCTTGATTCTTGAAGGTCCCCTGCCCTTGCCTGTTGAAAGAACAGAAGTGATGCAGCTGCAGGGAATGAAAGGAGACAATGGGACCACCAAGAATCAGGAAGGGGACAGACAGAGGAGACCTAGCTCCTCTCTCTCCCTCTTCCTTTACACGAAGGCCTACTTACAGCTGAGCAAGTGAGGCATACATTGTGAGCCATGTGTCCGAAGAGGGAATATTGAGGAAAGAAAGCTGTCCACCTTGATTTAGGAGACTTGTGAATGCCGTTGAAAGAACGTGCGTGAGGACAATCGAGACATAGCTTCGAACGGTGGGGTATTGGCCCCTGGGCCAGAGGAGTTGAATGAAGGTAATGATGTTGCCAGAGAGAGTCCCACTGTGGGGGAAGGCAGAGAAGAACCCGGTGGCCTGGTTGGAATGCATGATTTTACAATCATGTCTTGTCTGAGGAAAAGAAAAGTCTTTTGACAATGATCAGTTACTAAAGCTAGGCACAGCTTTTTGGTTTCTAAATATTTCTCCTCTGAAGGGAACCAAGCCTTCCTGGAGTACAAGGTGTTGCCAAGGACGGACAAGAACGATAGAAGCCTCAAGTGTCCGGTTGGGTCCCCAAATCAGGAAGTACTCACACCTTGGCGGTTTTGTTAGTTCAAGGACCGGGGGTTCCGTTTTGGAAGGTTTTCCTTGGCCCAATTAAGGACCATTTTCGCATCATAGATCATTGGAAATAACCCGAGTGTCCACCAACAGTAAAATGAACGAATTTCAACATATTTCGATAATGGGACAGTTACGACTTGTTACACACAATTCGCACACAATCTCTGTTATGTGCAACAACAGGAATGAATGTCAGGGTCAAAGAAGAGCAAAAAGAAGTCACATACCAAAAGTGTAGCTGTTGGATGAGTCTGTGTACAAACGTCAAATACAAGCTCAACCGCTCTATGATGATAGAGCCCGGATAGTGATTAATTCCTGTGGGGGCGGTGATTGGCTCAGGAGAAAACATTTACACGACATATTACACTCGGCTTTCTGTGGTGATTCCATACAGAAATCCAGGCAGCCCAGACGTGCACACCAACACAGACATGGGCAGGAGTGTCAATGTTGCTAGTTGTTGTCACATTGGTCCCAACCCCTGGGACCCTTATGTGTCTCGGGATGAAATACTATCCAGTCCACTGCCATCTTCTTGGTCAAGGTATGTCTGAGTCACTTGCGTGGTGCCTTCCATCCTAAGGGGTACATCTTCCAGCGTTATTCTGTGGTGATGAGTTTTTCATTGGCTACTTGTCTGAAGTACATTGTAGACCTTGCTTCCAACTCCACCTTAGTCTGGAAGTGCCACTGAAACCTGCCTGCCGTGGGTAACCAGCCCTGCTTGGTTTTGAAATGATGGTGGCTGACATAGCTTCCAGTAGCATGGCGGCACACAGGCTTCCACCAGACAACACACTGAGAGAGGGCTGGTGGGACGTGGTGACATTCATAATAGAGACATCGATGCAGATAGATGTCGTGGATGGACAACCAGAGCAGTCACAGAGGGCACCCTGCCCCAATCATATTTGGGGTTTAAAACTCTAAGGTGACTGTCTTGAAATTCTGAATAATTTAACTTTGGGTCTGTATTTGGTAGATGAACTCCCATGAGACAAGGGAGTATGCACCAAGGGCAGTGAGTCCACACAGACAATCCAGGATCACCACCCCTGCCCATCGACAGGCCATCTGATTTGCAACCTGACTTTCACCTGCAAACTTCATTCCCTTGGGACACTTGACATACATATGCACAGATTCTAGGCAACAGACATAGGCACCTTTAAAGGCTGTCTTTCTGCCTATTTCCACCAAAGGTGACTGAACAGGGTGCAATTGTAGACCAATAGGAATACTCTAACATGCA